CGGTATCAATCCATATCCATTGTGATTTAGGAATGTTAGGTGATTTCTGCCCTTTATGGATTAAGACCAGACTCTGCATCAACTGTGTAATTTTCCATATGAGTTTTGCCATGGATCCCCCTCCGGCATGCAACAGTCCAGGTGTTAGTCCCCTTGAAACAACTTTTCCATCACTATTGTGGCCAGAAAGAGTCCCTGTGTGTTTTTAAAATTCGCCTGCCCATTGAAGTCTATGGCGGTTCGCCCGGTTCGCCAGTTCGCGAACATTTGCAGAAGTTCGCGTTCGCCGTTCGCGAACCGAAAATTTCGTGTTCGCGACATCACTATTAATTAGGAGAAATCTAAAATATATTTTTTTGACATTCTTTATTTTTACGTTATAGAATCACAACATGTATATACTTTACAGTTTAACAAGTTAACGAGTTAGCGGGACAGTTATGTGTATAACAGCATTGAAGTAATTTCTGCATTTTACGAATAGGTTGTTTTCGTATTTATAACTCTTACATAGTAGTAGTAGTAGTAGTAGTAGTAGTAGTAGTAGTAGTGTGTTTGGGAGTGTATGGGGTTTGTGGTTGATCCGCGAGGTTCCAGCGTGATGTCATATAGCCTGCTCTAACCTCTCAGGGTTGTCATTGTGGGGCAGGGGAGATCATGCATCACCACGTAATTGCCTGATCTACCTCATTTGTAGGCATAACTATAAGGGGGGTTTGGGTCAGTGAGAGATTGCCTGTCTCTTTCGTATTGGGCCTAGTGTTTCTTACGGTACCCTGGTTTGGCAGAGGTCAGTGTCGGCGTTCATTGCGTTTCTTCTTTTCCCCAAGCATTGTACTAAGTAGTGTGCCTGTGTTACTAGTACCAAGCTGGTGAATACAGTATTACATCTCCAGTCGTGTTGTGTCGGCCTGTGCGTTCCGACCCTCGGAGGATACCGTAAGGAGCTCTTATTGAGGGTTCCAATCTGGTTAGTATCTGTGATGTGTGTGGGTTCAGGGCGTAGTGGGCCTGGTGGGGTTGCGTTCAGTCCGAGGTCATGTGGAGGCCCGTTGTGCTACCCCCTGAGCCGTATGACCACCCACCGATCTCCCTGGGCAGATCTGTTTTGGGGTCTCTCGGGTTAGTTGTCCATGATTCGTCTTCGGTTGTGGCTGGAGTGTGCGGTGTGTTCCTGTGGTGTCATTTTATGTAGGTGTGTGGGGTCTGCGTTAGGCGTCGCGTCGTCACCTTAGGTCGTTGGTTTGTGTCACTCGTGTGGTAGACGTGTCCGTGTCATTCATGTGGGCGTATTATGTTCACCGCTAATCGTCTGGGTGGCCTTGCCTGGATCTTAGTTGTTATAGTATGTCTTAGGTCCAGCAGGACGTGGTGTAAGTGGGGTTGTATCTGTCAACTGCGGCAGTCCTGGTTATTTTTAGACGTGGTCTGGTCTGGGATCTTCTAGCTTGGGTTGTGGTGTCGTGCGCCTGAGGCGGAGGCGAGTCTTGGCCCCCAGTATCTCTGTCGCCCTCTTCCCTCCTCCCTTAGATGTGTCTGTCTGCATGTCGCTTTAGTAGTCTGCCCCCTCCCTGCCCCCCCGGCATCCCGTAGTCAGCGGACCCCATTCTCGGTGCCGGTCTACTTACTGATTCCTCCCCGTGTGGTGATGTAAGTTAGTATGGGTGCCTTCGAGCGTTGAGTCTCCCTGGGTCTTTTGCGGGCCTACGTGTCATGTAATAAGAGGGGTGGGGGGAGGGGGTGTGGGCAGCGTGGGTCTGTTATGTAGGGGGTGGAGCCTACTCATCTGGCACTTCCTGCATCTGTTCAGTAGTCTGTCGGGGGGGTTGTGTCGGTGCGGGGGCGCCGTCCGCCTCCGCCAGGCCTCCTCTTTCCGCCCCTTTTGATGTATAGTCCATCCACAGGTACCATGTCATGGCGCATTTTTCCTGGCGTCCCTGCAGGGAGGCTGTCATCATTTCCATGTTATAGATCATTTCTACCCTGTCTACCCATTGTTGTAGGGTGGGTGTCGTCGTACTTTTCCAGAGTAGCGGGATGAGCGACTTTGCCGCCGTAAGTAGGTGTATGAGGAGTCCTTTCTTATAGATCTTCACAGGCGTGCGTGTATGGTTGAGTAGCAGTGGCATAGGTTGGAAGGGGATATCTGAGTCCGTGATGTCTGTGATCGTCTGATGTATCCTTCGCCAGTATGGTTCGATACGGGGGCACGTCCACCAAATGTGAATGCTGGTTCCTTCCTCTGTGCCGCATCTCCAGCATTCGCTCGAGATTGATTCGTGCACGTGCTGGAGGATGTCTGGCGTCCGGTACCATCCTGTCAGTATTTTGTAATTACATTCTTGGAACTTGGAGCTAATGGTCCCTCTGTGTGTTTAGTTGAAATATTTTAAGCCATTCTGGTTCCGTAAGCTCCACCCCAGTCTCCCTTTCCCATCGTGATGTGAAGCCTAGGGGGCTATTGTCTCCGTTACTTAGTAGAGCGGAGTAGAGTTGTGAGACTCCATGTGAGAGGTGCTGTCTGGCCGTGCATAGGTGTTCCAGTTTCAACAATGGGCGATGTAAGTGGTCTTTGCCCGTGATGTTGGCGAGATATGTTTTCACTTGGTGGTATCGGAAGACGTCCAGGCCACTGGGTCTGCGGTCCTGCAGCAGCGTCGCCAGGGGTTTAAGCGTCGCTCCGGAGCACCATTGGTGGGTGTGTACCCAGTCCGTGGCTCAGAGGTTTTTCAGGTCAGCCGTGTTCAGCCCTCCCGCTAACCTCGGGTTGTGGGTTATTGGTGTAAGCGGGTTGGGCAATGACGTGAGGTTTTTGGAGTATCGTATCCCACACCACACCTTCAATGTGGCATCGATCATCGGGTTCCCGGTAAGCAGTTCCTTGAGTGATGATTCTCCCAGCCACAGCACGGCGGGGATTCGTCCCTGGGCTTAGTGTTTCTCTAGATCCACCCATTGCTTTGTGCTGGGGCTGGCGTGCCAGTCGACCAGCCTGTGTAGGTGGGTTGCTTGGTAATTCGTAAGGATGGACGGCAGTCCCATGCCTCCTTCTCCTCTTGGGCGTTCTAGGGTCACCCTTCGGATGCGTGCTGGCTTTTGGTTCCAGACGAATTTTCTAACGGCCGTCGTCAAGGTCTGAAAAAATGCCCTCGGGAGGTTCGTGGGTAGCGTCTGGAACAAGTATAGTAGTCTGGGCATGATGTTCATCTTCACGGCGCTTATGCGGCCAAAACACGATATATATTGAGTTGTCCAGCGCTTCATGTCTTGTTGTAGGGTGGTGAGCAAGGGCGCAAAGTTCAGTTGGTAGATTTGTGTCAAGTCCCACGGGAGCCACACCCCGAGGTAGTGTAGTTTGGATGCGGATATCTTGAAGGGGAATTGCGCTTGAATATGGCGTTGAAGGATGTCGTCCTGTGCGAGCAGCAGTATCTCCGACTTATCTAGGTTAAGCGTCAGGTCGGATACTTCCTTATATTGCCAAAACGCCTCCAGGAGATGCGGAAGGGAGGTTCTGGGTTGCTCCAGAAAGAAGAGCATATCGTTGGCGTACGCCGCTACTCGATGCGCTCTCCCCCCTACGCTGCACCCCGTGATACCCCTGTCCTGTCTGACGGCCTCCAAGAAAGGTTCCAGGGTGAGGGCGAACAGGAGTGGGGACAGGGGGCAGCCCTGGCGTGTGCCGTTGTGGATGTTAAACGAGTCAGTCAGCGCTCCATTTACTCGTATGTGGTCTGTAGGTGAGGTATAGAGTGCAGTTATCCAGGTCCGCAGGTGTGGACCGTATCCCATATGTCTTAAGGTTTCTGACATATAGATCCAGTCCACCCTGTCAAACGCTTTTTCAGCGTCGGTGGACAACAAGACCATTTCCTTTTTGCCTGTAGTGGCGGCATGAATGGTGTTGAGGGCACGAATAGTATTATCCCTGGCTTCTCTTCCGGGGATAAATCCGACCTGATCCGGGTGTATCAGGTCCGGGAGCGTCCGTGCCATCCTGAGTGCCAATGCCTTAGCGAAGAGTTTGACGTCCGCGTTTAACAGAGAGATGGGCCTGTAACTGGCAGAGCTTGTTGGGTCTTTGCCCTCCTTGGGTATTATTGCGACTGTAGCTAGCAGGGTGTCTTTGTGGAATTGGCCTCCCTCTCTGATTGAGTAAACGCCTGTCAAGAGTTTGTGCAGCAGGATGTCTTTGAAGGAGCGTAGATACGAGACCGGTAGACCGTCAGGGCCAGGGGCCCTGTGCGCTTTAGTTGATTTCAGTGCACCGGCTAGTTCCTCAATCGTCAAGGGCAGCTCGAGGTCTGCCTCCTGCTCCGGGGTGAGCTGTCGGGTAATGTGGCTCTGAAGATATGTGACTATCCGCTCTCGGTGGCTCCCTGCTTCTCTGTCCCGGTGGAGTCGTGGTTGGTCATATAACGCCGCGTAGTATTCCCGAAACGTGGACAGTATGCCGTCCGGGAGTCTGGTAGTGTCTCCCCTGTTCGTGCGTACCTTGTGAATGTGCTGAGCTTTCCGTCTGTCTTGTAACATCCTAGCTAGCATCCTTCCACTTTTGTTTGAGTGTTCGTAATGATATCTGGATGCTTTCCTCGCGGTGTGCAAGATTCCTTGTGATAATAAGGCTTTCAACTCCCTTCGTGCTTCCATCAGGCGGAGGTACGTGCTTTCGGCGAGGTCCTTCTTGTGTTCCCCCTCCAGTTCAGCTATCAGGTCTGTTAATGTTGAGATATGTTGAGTTCGGTCCTTTTTGCGTTTGGTGCTCATGGCGATGAAATGGCCCCGTACGACGCATTTGTGAGCTTCCCAAAGCGTTAACGGTAGCATCTCTGGGTCTTCGTTGGTTGTGAAGTATTCGGTTAGAGTTTGGGCAGTTATCCTCTTTAATTCTGCGTCATCCAGTAAGGATTCATTCAGCTTCCAGTGCCTTTCGCGAGGTTTGTATAGTGGGGAGCTTGTGCAGATCAGCAGTGGTGCGTGATCCGTGTGGTCCATTATGCCTATTTGTGCTTCGTGGAGAAGGTTGAGATATTCCTGTGCGGGAATATATAGTCAATGCGACTGTAATTTGTATGGACTGCCAAATAGTGGGTATAGTCCCGATCTTCAGGGTTGCATGCCCTCCAACAATCCACAAGGCCAAGTTTGTGTAGAGATCGTTGCGCTGCTCGTATGCAATGCGCGGGGATCACGGTCTGCCCTCTGGAGGTGTCCGTGCGGGGGTCCAGAGGTAAGTTGAGGTCACCTGCCATGACCAGGAGGCCCTCTCTGAACTTCTCCAATTTGGCTAGCGTCCGGGCTAGAAATGTGTGCTGTTTTCTATTTGGGCCGTAAAGGCACGCAAAGGTATATGTGTGTTGCATGATGGTGCCCTTGACGAAAATAAATCTGCCGTTAGGGTCCACCTGTGTTGCTATGTGTTGGAACGGCGTCGTCTGTGCAAAGAGTATTGCCACGCCTGCCTTCTTAGCGTCCGGGTGATTCGCGTAGAATCCCTGCGGGAAACGTCTGGTCTCCAGTTTGGGAGCGTCTACCCCTCGGAAATGCGTCTCCTGCAGGAACGCCACGGAAGCTGTTACTGACCTTAGGCACCTTGCCAGGTGCGAGCGCTTTTCAGGCGTGTTAAGCCCCTGGATATTATTGGACCAGTATGTCAGTTGAGCCGGAACAAATCCCCGTGAGGCTGCCATCTCTGCGATAGGGCGGCGTCCCCGCGGTGGTGTCAGTAGGATGATGTGGTATGGCGGTGGGTGTGGGGGAGTCTGTCTGGAGTGGTGGAGTGTACGGTCTGGCGTATCCTCCGGGTGTGCAGGTGTGACTCCGACCCTGTACCGGGTGTGATCGTTCCCGCGCCTGGTGGGCTGTCCCAGAGTCGGGAACACCGGGTGAATTTACAGTGTGGGTCTGTCTCAGTGGGGCCCCGTACGGTCACTTACAGTGATGTTGGTACTCTCCCCTCCCCGTCGGCACCCAACCTGTGTGGAGTGTGTGAAATCGCCCTGGTTGCGTGCTCTAGTTTCGGGGTCAGCATTAATCGCCTGGGACTTTAATGTGCTGGTTGGGTTGTGATGTCCTGCCCGGCAGTCCGGTGCTCTAGAAGCGTCAGTACAATCCGGTCTTGTTCGCGTTATGGCCAGTGTTACCTGTGGCTCCCTCCGTCTCGGTCGGCTCCCCTGGCGTCCCGGTTCTGGTATCCGGGTGCTGTCTGGGGTTTCAGCTAGGGTCGGTACTCGGTCACCTCGGGGTACTCTGTTTCTATCCCGTCCTTTAGGGCAGTTTGCGGTTGGTGGTCTGTGGGTCGGCGTGTTCAGGGCGTGGAACCGCTGCCTAGGGGTGGTCTATCCTACATGTGCTGTGTCTCATTGTGAGGGGGCAGGGTGGGCGCGGCGCGTTTGCTCCCGTATTTACGTCAGTTCGGTGTGTCAGGCTTGTAGCGTGGTCGCCCCCTGCGCCTGGAGTTTCCGGTGTGAAGTCTATCTATACCTCTGGGCTTGCGTATTAAGGTATGTCTACGTGGCGTCTATTTGGCGTCAGGGTGGCAATTGTGTGCAGTTGTCCCCTAGTGTGTGTGGCTGTGGTGTGTTTCGAGTGTTAAACAAGGAACCGTATATAGGTAGAAACCATTAGCAAACCGTGCCTAGTCCTGGCCCAACTCCCCGCTTAGCCCTAACCCTGTGCACCCGCATCCTGGGCAATCCTCGCCCTCCCACAGCCACTCACCCGACCTGTCCCGTGGACTGCGGAGTGCTGGAGCAGCATGCTCGGTACAGCGTCCAAGGCTCAGGATATGACCCTGGTGATGGTAACAATCCACAGTCTCCTTGTTTCCTGCCCATCGCCCCCTCCCCACCTACGGGGCATTCCCCCCATATTCCCTGGGTGTATGGGCTCACTGGTAGGAACTCATCTCCCGGCTGCTCCCAGATATTGGCATTGGTGCCCACCCCACCTGTCTGCAGTCCCCCCCTTCTTCTGGCTAATGCGATCTGGTAGCAATCAGGAAAGTACATACCCCTGCTGTGGTGTCGTTGGGTCACTGCGTGGCGTCCATAGGCAAAGCTGGGGGGGGTCGGAAGGCACTGCACCGACCTGGCCTGATGCGTCCCAGAGGGCCTCGGTTCGGTGCGGCGGGAAGGCCTTTATTCCTCGGGGCCTTCCGGGCCTCCTCTGCGCCTTGGAGGTCCGGGCTCCAGGTGGATGTTGTGGGCCACTTCAGTTGGGCCTGTGGCTCGTGCTGGGGGTTCATAATATAAAATATATTAATGCAACCAGCAAACTTTAAAATGCCAACACTAGCAATAAGTATAAACATGTTATGAAGCATACCTCATAACGTGACTGGTAGGCATTTATGCGTGCATTATTTGCATTTAAAGTGGACCAAGACATTGTTAGTTTCTTATATAAATAAATACGTTTCAAACAATGACAATAAAGAAAAATATTAATTGCAAAGTTGATTAATTGCAACAGTGGTTGTGTGTGCAACTTGATATCATATTTTACATTTTTGTAGATGTTTGTAAATTGTGTGACACATTGTCAATTCATTGTCGTATATTGACGTTAAAAAAAAGTTTGCTGGGAGCATGAGATGTCAACAGCCAATGACAATAAAGAGTCATCCAAACACTCTCTTTAACTTACTAGAATACTCTGTGAGGATAACAGTACAAGTTGTTTGACCTGTCTGGTGACAATGAATGCCATCTGTGTCAAAAGACATTCCAGATTAGCTATAAATTCCTTACACAAATTTAATAAACTGCAGACCAGTTAAACAAAATGTGCATCGGGCTGTAATGAATTTGAATAGGAACTAATGGCAACTTATATTATCTGCTGAGCTTATTGTACATTTTCAGTAGAGGTAGATAGTTTACCACCTTGCTCACTGCTTATGTGGTGAGGGTAAAAAAGACTGCATCTACTTCTTAGTCGATCATCTACTTCTCACTGTCAGGAAACTGACAGGGATCCAATACGCAGAGTGCGCACAGAAGGAGGTACGTATACCGGACCTTAGAATGGCCGGACTAACGTAAGGACAAAGCAAGAATAGTCAAAAGGTAAGCCGAGGTCAAGGGAGCCGGAGGACAGGTAAGCGAGATACAAGCCGAGTCAAAGGAGAGGAGAGGACAACAGGACAAAAGACAAGCAAGGGTCAAAACCGGAAACACAAGATAAAGAACGCGCTGAGTGACTAGCAAGCTAGAACCACGACAGGGCAATGAGCAGTAGTAAAGGTTTCCTTTAAATACCCTGTTACCTAAATAGAGACCACGCCCCCAAAAGGTCCGGAATAGCGGTTCCCGGCACTTTATGCAAATGCCGACGTCATGACGTCGACGCTAGCCGTCGCGTCATAAAAGGGGGAGGAGCTAGCGCGGCCGGCGCGAAAACGGCCGAAATATGCCGAAATGCTAGGGGAAGGGAGCCCCTAAGCAGAGAGGATGTCCTCCCTGGATACATCACCAACAGGTACCCTGACAGTACCCCCCCTTCTAGAAACGCCCACCGGGCGGATGGGACCTGGCTTAGAAGGAAAACGAACGTGGAAGGCCCGTAGAAGACGAGGAGCATGCACGTCTATACCAGGAACCCAAGACCTCTCTTCTGGACCATAACCTTTCCAGTCTATGAGGTATTGCAGCTTCCCCCTAGAAATACGAGAATCAAGGATGGACTTGATGATATATTCCTCCTGACCATCCACACGGACCGAGGATGGAGGAGCAGAGCGGGAGGAAAATCTGTTACAAACAAGAGGTTTCAATAACGACACATGAAAAGAGTTAGGGATGCGTAGAGTAGGAGGTAGATCCAGCAAATAAGAAACCGGGTTGATCCTCCTCAGTACCCTGTAAGGACCAATGTAACGAGGAGCAAACTTCAAGGAAGGAACTTTCAGGCGAATGTGTCTGGTACACAACCAGACCCTATCCCCCGGAGAAAAAATAGGAGCAGGACGTCTACGCCTATCAGCATGTGACTTAAACACCGCGGAACTACGTTCAAGAATTTGTCGAGTCTGATCCCACAACTTTCTCAGGTTGGCTATATGAATATCAACCGACGGTATACCCTGGGAAGGAGACACCGACGGAAGAACAGTAGGGTTAAAGCCATAGTTCAAGAAAAAGGGGCTATTATGAGTGGAACCACAAACAAGGTTGTTGTGAGCAAACTCCGCCCAAGGAATCAGACCGACCCAGTCATCCTGGTGTTCAGAAACAAAACAACGTAGATATTGCTCAATTTTTTGGTTAGTGCGTTCGGCTGCTCCGTTAGATTGAGGATGATAGGCCGAAGAAAAATTCAGTTTGATGCCCAACTGTGAACAGAAGGATCTCCAAAAACGGGAAATAAATTGGGAACCCCTGTCTGACACAATCTCATTGGGAATACCATGTAAACGGAAAATTTCTCTAGCAAATATCACGGCCAGTTCGGGGGAGGACGGAAGTTTAGGCAAGGGAATGAAATGAGCCATTTTAGTAAACCTGTCAAGGACCGTGAGTATAACTGTATGCCTATTGGAAGCTGGTAGATCAACAATAAAATCCATAGCCAAGCAAGCCCAAGGTTTGTTGGGAACGACTAAGGGCTGCAATAAACCACAAGGGAGATCCCGCGGAAGTTTATTCCTGACACAAACATTGCAAGCCTTGACAAAGTCTTCCACATCCCTACGTAAACCGGGCCACCAGAAGTCTTTTGAGATCAGGCAGTAAGTTTTGTGGATGCCTGGGTGACCAGCGATCTTGCTATCGTGGAAACAGCGAATAATGTCCACTTGGAATTTGGGAGACACGAACAAGCGGCCCACAGGAGTACGTTCGGGAGCAAGAGATTGTTCGTTCTGAATATCAGCGAGCAATGGAGAGTGTATTTTGACATTGGTGTTGGCGATAATATTGACTTCAGGAATAATAGGGAACAAAGTATCCTCTGTAGAGGTGGTAGGTTCGTGCTGACGTGACAAAGCGTCTGCCTTAGTGTTCTTAGAACCAGGCCTGTAAGTAAGCACATAATTAAAGTGTGTAAGGAACATAGACCAACGTGCCTGCCTGGCAGATAATCTTTTGGCCTCCCCCATATACGATAAATTTTTGTGGTCAGTCAAGATAGTAACTGGGAGGGCGGTGCCCTCTAACAAATGTCTCCATTCCTTTAATGCCATAATGATAGCTAAAAGTTCTCTATCACCAATGTCATATCTCCTTTCAGTGTGTGACAGTTTCTTGGAAAAAAAACCGCAAGGGTGCAGCGGCTTATCTAAACTTTGTCTTTGGGATAACACTGCGCCTATCCCTGTTTCAGACGCATCAACTTCAAGTAAAAAGGGTAGAGAGGTATCAGGATGAACTAATACAGGTGCTGAGGCAAAAGACTGTTTGAGCGTTTCGAAAGCAGATAAAGCCTCAGTAGACCAGGTTTTGGTATCGGCTCCTTGTTTGGTCATATTAGTGATAGGAGCGATAACAGAGGAGTACCCTTTAATAAAGCGTCTGTAATAATTAGAAAATCCAAGAAATCTTTGTATGGCTTTGAGTCCCTTAGGTAAAGGCCAATCTAAAATCGATTTTAGTTTGGTCGGGTCCATCATAAACCCGTCTTTGGAAATTACGTAACCTAAGAAAGTTACCTGAGACTGGTCAAAGCTACATTTTTTCAATTTACAATACAATCCATGTTGTAAAAGTTTCTGTAATACCTTTCTGACTTGTCTATGATGTGAATTAATGTCTCTAGAATGGATTAGTATATCATCCAAATATACAATTACACATTCATGTTGGAATTCTCTAAGAACTTCATTGATCAAGTCTTGGAAGACGGCCGGGGCGTTACAAAGCCCAAACGGCATTACGGTATACTCATAATGCCCGTAACGGGTATTAAATGCTGTCATCCATTCATCTCCTTGTTTAATTCGCACTAAGTTATATGCTCCCCTTAAGTCAAGTTTAGTAAAAATACTCGACCCCTTTAGTCTGTCAAAGAGTTCAGTAATCAAAGGAATAGGGT